CGCCGCTGCGGGCCGAGCCGCTGCGGGCCGCGCACTAACAGCCCAGAGCCGGGTCCCCGGGGGGTCTTGCTAGAGGTGTTGTGCCCGCGACGCGGTTTTTGAGTAAAACCCAAGGTACAGGGGTCTGAGCAGTAGGCAGAGAGCTTAATGGGGGCAGGGGGTCCACAGCGAAACGACGGCTCCTAAAGAGCAGGAGCGAAGCCAAGTATGTGCAGACGTGTCCTGGGTTGATCTTGCTGTTATGTGGTTGGTTTGATGAACTGCAGGTCTGCCTGACTTAGTCCCGGATCCCTATTACATCCAGGCGTCCACATATGTGCAGAGGATGTCTATGTATAATTTGAGATGTGCGGCTGAGGAGAACTGCCTGGCAAGGTAGGCATCGCCTTGGCTCTTCCCTTTTCACTCTGGGCCTTTGTGGCTGCACTTACCCCGAAGCACCTGAAGACACAGTGAAAACACGGTGGAGAAAAGCGAGGCCAGAGGGCCTGACAAAATACCCCAGTTTGTAACCCTTTCCAAAGTCTTTTCTTATATGCACACTTCATCAAAATAGATGGCAAAAATGTGCATTCAAGAAAAGATACAGCCATATTAAAGAGAAAAACTAAAGGTGCTTTGAAGAAACTACATTTTTAAGGAAATTATACAGTACATTTCTATCACAAGGGTCATTTGAACACATCTGAATCATGCAAAATGGGGGTCCCCCAAACCCCACTTGAATCTGGTTATTTTCCATCTTCCTCCCCTAAGCGTAACAAATCACATTCTACTCTATTTTTTAAAAACATATTCTTAACCAGCACAAGCTACTATTAAAATTGTTTCTGGGCATATGCATTGTAATGTCTCTCAAAGACTAAAAACTATCTGAAAAGTATTTTCAAAGCCTTTTAAAAGCTTGAAATAACAGCTTTGCTATCAAGTTAGGTCCTATCCACTTGGCAAAGAAGGATTTTTCCTGTTTTGTTTGGAATGAAATCAAGCCATGGCTGCTTTAACCATTTTAACTTGTATGATACCTTATCATGCAAAACAGATTTGTTTATTGACCAGCCTCATAAATTGATGTCAGACTGTTTCCAGGGTCATGCTCTTGTTCGTTTGCTCCAGCAAGAAAAAAGGGCATAAAAAACAGCCTATGTTAACTTTACAGTAAAGACCATTTGAAATGTTCCTGTTGACAGCGATACCAATTGATTGGAATATTCCAATATTTAAAGGACTGTAGGTTATAACTATATAAAATAGGATAACCCTGAGACATGTTTTTTCATACTTCAACAGAAACAAACACTTTGTAGATATGAGGTCACACAATAAGTTATTTTGTTTTATAGCAACTAGTGGAATTGCTTTTTTGGTACCAGAGTAATTTTACAGCTAAGCAGCAGCTCTGCATAAGAGCTAGAGTCAAAGAGTCAGTGATCAAACTCCTGACATTATTAGAAGCAGATCTGATTCTTACTCAATTCTTGGTCTGATACCAGGCACTTCTGAAGACATCATGTGGAATTCTTGCGAGTCTTACGAGTGTTAACACTTGAGATTTAAGGGTCTTATTGGGGGCTACTTAAGAGAGCTATACTATTAATTACTTCTGAAACAATATAAAGCTTTTTTAAAGAGTTTTTTTTGCATGTACTTATGCTCCTTTTTTGTATTATTATAGTTCAGCTTATCGAGCAGATGTTAGAGACTACGATAATCGAGTGCTCCTGAGATTCCCCCAAAGAGTGAAAAATCAAGGCACATCAGATTTCCTACCGAGCAGACCCCGATATTCATGGGAGTGGCACAGCTGTCACCAGTGAGTGAAGTGCCCAGTATGGTACCTTCTAATTATCTTTTTCACTAGCAAATTGTCAATTATAACATGACATGTTCTAGAACTGTAGTTAAGTGGGGGAGAAGTGGGGAAACCTTAGGATTTAACTGGCTCAACCATTTTATGGTAGTGGAAATTACTCTTTACATATCATCCATTTTGATTTGATGCATGTAGCTATTAAGTTTAACTAAGTATAAGATTCTAACAAGTAAAAATTTTGCATAAATATAAATCTCAAGTCAGTTTTGACAATGGGACCATCTCGCTTTAATTATATTTTATATTGATCACTGCTTAGTTGCATTTAACTGGAACCAGTAAATAAAAATCCCAGTGTGTTAAAATTACTGTGTAGGCCCCAAATATGTAGGTTTACTAACGTGTTCCTTATAATATATAACCTTAAACATGGAACCATACTGCTTGACCTAACTTTCGTGGGTTAATTCTTGACAAGCAACATTCTGATCAACACAGGAAAGAAAAGGTAACGAGCTGACTGACCTCATTATCAACAGCCATATCATATAGTATTTCCATCTAGCGGTATTGCTCTCGTAAGGCCAAATTTCTAGAAACAAGGCAAGAAACGAGACAAACATAGAACACTTGCAACATTTTGGAAAGAGGTAACACTGCAAACTTGTACCCTTTGTGAAAGTTTGCATGTAGGAGTTGCTTAGTTAAGCAACTCTAAGTTTAGCTATTTCATAGCAGGACCAATTGTAATATACTAGAAAGCTTCCCTTATTTCCAACTCAAAATACTATCCTAATGTTACGAGTGCATAAGTGATCATTTAGTATTACTCTATTGTAGAGATGAATATGTAATGTGGGCTTGATCTAAAGCCTGCTGGAGGCAATGGACTATTTCCTCTCTAAAGCATCAGAGGTTTTAAGTTTATATGGTTGTAATCAAACTCGGATGAAAAATCACCATCATTCAAACAAATTCTTTCCCGGAAAGACTGATATTACTAGCTTACAAAACTTGTAAAGATTAGAGAGCTTAAAAAAAAAAAAGCCTCTATAGATGCTCTAGTTAACACTCCCCTCCAGCCCAGAAATCCCACCCTGTGCTTACAGAGATGAGTGGATAAAACAGACGGAGAGAAACTGATTTTTTTTTTGTTTGTAGGACAAGCATTTTCTTACTCTGCCACTATAGCCCAGCTATAACTATCCAGATGCAAAGCATCTCTGATGCTAATTCAGTTGTTGGACAGAAAACACACTGCCAACAACAACAACAAAAAAACATTTCTCATGCTCATTTCCATGACACTGAAACAAGTCCATTTGGAAAGGAACTATAACTATCAATTAGTTTGGCCAGCCATCAGATTTCAGTGTTAGTCATCATCCTCCGTGGACCATTCTTAGTGATCTTGTCTTGCATACTTGACAGACTTGTAAGCTTCTCTTCGTTTAAAAGAATATGACTGAATTCTGCTTAATTACATCTTTTGCATATACTTACTGGGCTCATAGTGTTCATGATCAACAGCAGTCAAATGCTGCACAGACAAGGTACTGAGGTAGTACAAGTTTACTTTTCCACTTATTTCGAAAAAATAAAATTACAAGAGTAACAGCTGTTCAGATGCACAGTAAGAGCTAGAACTCATTACATATGAGCACTAGAAAAAAATACCCCTCAGCCCAGACTGAAGGTATATTTGCTTTTGAAGTAATGAGAGTACATTAAGTACAGATTACAAAAAATAACATCACTATTCTGTTTCCATTAGTTCTTGATAGTTAATGACAAGCTAATGAGATCTGTAACGCTGATCTCTATGCAGAATTTGTTTTCATTAATATTATAGATGCGTTACATGTATTGAGGACTATAGAAATAGTAAAATAACTAACAAGTAGCAAACTTCCCTGGAATTTATAGTATGTAAGGTAAGCAAACCTAGTCAAACACTGTCCAAAAGCAAAGCTTAGGATCTGCAATTCAAATATGAGTTATTTAATGTTATTGTAAGAGACAGAAGGGGAAATTTTGAAGAAGCATGCTGTTATAGAGTCTTTCCCTCAACAAATTAAAACCTACTTCTTTTTTTTTTATAGCAGATTTTTTTTTTTAAATAGCCCCTGAAAATTAGAATAGTGAAAATAAAACTTAACCGAATAGCTTGTAAGAGGAAAATATACTAACACATCAGTTCTGCATAATAAAGAAAGTTTAGCCAGATCTGTTGGAAAGTCAATCAGATAGGAATATAACAGAATGATATTGGCAACATCTGATCCATATTCAATAACATATCCTTGGTCTCACAGGCATTATCACAGCATGGATGAATTCAGCCACTATGACTTGTTGGATGCAAGCTCACATAGAAAAGTTGCTGAAGGGCACAAAGCAAGTTTCTGTCTGGAAGATACCTCCTGTGATTATGGATATTACAGACGATATGCATGTACTGCACACACACAGGTAAGAGGTGGTTCAGAGATAACCAAGTTTTTTTCCCTTCGAGTTTATCTTCCGGTATCTTTCTATACCAGTGTAGGCTAAATCATCCGATGCCCTAAATGGCTCTGAAATTCTCCATCACAAAGGCCAGGGTAACAAGCTGGAGAACTATGATCAACTCATGGACTGCGAAACATGGGCATCTAGGGACTCTCAATCTTGAGTCACTGGTACCTGACCTAAACACACTGCAAGTTCTTGCAGTTTATAGTTATAGGACTAGACAAGCAAGCTAAAGTGAGCTCAAGACTGAGTCAGTAAAAAAGTGGTTTTGGCCTTCTTTCACCTCAGACTGCTTGGTGATGTCCTTGGCTGTTCCCAGAGTTCACAGCTAGTGTTATCTCCCTCACAGAGCATAAGGCTGCAAGGTGCTGAATTAACCCTAATACCTAGAGCTACTGGGTGGCAGCCCAGTACAGGAACTCTATTGCATTGTTGCATGCATGTATAGAAGGCATGTATAAAGAGAATGGGGGACACGTGAAAATTATGATTAGTCAAATACAAATGCAAAGCAAGATGTTAGGGCTTATTAAAGGAATAGATTAAAAATGGGATGTGTCATTATGATACCGTACAAGTTTGTGATATTCTGTCACCCTGAATGTTACATATAGTTCTGGTCACCACATCTCAGAAAGGTTACAGTAAAAGAAAAACAAAAAAAAACCCCAAAACCAACCAAACTACCCCCTCCCCCCCCGAAGAACAGGGTTGATCAGGAAGGTAATATGGCTACCACACTAGGAAATTTCATGGACAAGGATAATTTCAGTTGGAAAAAGAGAAGAATAATACCAAATCGTGAATGATCTTGGATGGCCAAAGGAAATTGTTGAAAATTTACTATTTCTCACAGTACAAGAATTTAAGGCTATCCAAAAGAACTCTCAGGCAACAGCTTTAAAACAGAGAGGAGTGCTTTTGTCACACACAAATAAATTGTTAAGCTTGCCACAGGATGTTGCGGAGACCAAAAGTATATACGTGAGTTCAAATTTAGAGTAATAGAGGCCATTAAACACAATCTGAAGGCATTTCTCTGCCTCAAAAACTGTTAAATGCCTGATGGAAGGAATCTGCCTGCGTAAAAGACATTACACATTACATTTCTGATGTTCTTTTTCCTCAAGCATCTGCTGCTGACCACTGTCAGGGACATGACATTGACTTGAAGGACCTGTGGTCTAACTCAGTGCGGCCATACTTATACATAAATTTGTATCCCTTATTCCACAGTTTTTAATCTAGTAGGTAGTTATTTTATCGCAGAGAAATGCCAGCTATGCTCCATTGGCTGACGTGTCCACATTTGAATTTTAAATATAATGAATGATCTACAGTGCTTTGAAGAGGTTTTAAAAATATCTTTTCTCCGTTGTGTAGACTATGACATCTGACTAAACAACGTACATATTTTACAGCTGGAGTATTTGTGTCACTAGAATCACGGCCGTGTCAGCATTTCCACTGGAAGCCCATATTTCAGGGGTTTGTAATTGGACTGTAAAACTTTCCTCCAGCCTCAGACTTGGCACATACAAGAGTCTGAGCTGATCACCAGCTGGGTCAGGAAGGAATTCCTGCAGGACTTGGTTTTGTGCACTGTGTATTATCAGAACATACCAGCTTGCCTAAAGCCAGCTATATCAGCCGTGGTTTAAAGACACCAGATTTGAACCACTGGTACATTTGTGTATGGAGTTTGTTATAATGCTCCTAACAGCAAAGAAATTTTCTGGAAGATAGATCTGGAAGAAAGGCTACATTTCGAATTCTCTCAGAATTTGTGTGTCAATTCTTGAAGCTTTTCAAAGTCTGTATTCGCCTGGACAGAAACCCACCAGGCCATTTTCCTACAAAGCTAAGTGTGAAAATAGCCCTTGAATTCCATGACTTTCCTATTCAGAGGAAGCACTGCAGCAGAGTACATCTAGGGCAAAAAGCTGCATTGCTCCTAAGGATAATGACAAATTCCAACACTGGTGATCAAGTTCATACTAAAGAACCTCAAAAACTTTTTACTTGAGATTTGCAGGTGCTTAGGTCCTATCTTTGGTCAGATTCTATTTTATTCTGGAAAGATCCCCTCACCTTTTGTAAATAAGAGCATTTATACCATCAGCAATTATACCATCAGCATTTTTTTTCATAAAAAGCATGCTGTAGCATAAATGATAATACAATACAGATAATTAAGTTTTATAGGAGCATAGCAGTAAACAGATTTTTAAGTATCCAGCTCTTTTTGCGTTGGAAAATGAATTTTTCTTATGTTCCATGAAGAAGCATCTTTCGACCTTGGATAGTTTTGACTCTTTTTCACTTGGGCAAGTGAGACTTTTTCACTTGGGTAGGGAGGAGTCGGGGAACAGCGTCAAAACTGTCAATCTTACAAAAGCACAAAATGCTCTCACTATATCGCTCAATGTCTTCTGCTCTCATTCCTATTGCTTAGGATACCTTGCCAAATAACCATTCCTGCACTATACTAGTGATGCAACTAGACCGAACAGATGGTCTCCCACTCACCAGAAGTCTAGTTTAGAGGAGAGTGGAAACTAGACACACCTGAACAACAGTTCTCAGTACTGCAAGAGCTTTTCAGAATAAAGTATTTCTAAAGTTTTTTTTTTTTTTTTGACTCTAAACAGCAGATAAATACAGATATCTCACAGATACACAGCTAACAGTAGTATAGCAGCAAAAAAGAAAACCCTTACATATTAGCAGCAAAGTGATGTCTCTAAAATTGCTATGTCAGAGTTAGGTATTCCAGGTTAGATATCCAAATAAAATGCCAAGAAAAAATAAGCCTTATTCCCTCAGATAATTTTTTTTCAGTGAAATGCTGTGATGGTTAACTGTATTTCAGTCTGTTACTGATTTCTGGAATGCTACTTTCCCTAAAAATTCTTTGATATCTATCTGTTTTTAAGGGACTGAGCCCTGGCTGTTACGACACTTACAATGCTGATATAGATTGCCAGTGGATTGATATTACAGATGTAAAACCTGGAAATTACATTCTGAAGGTAATGCTTTTGTTTTTTTTTTTTTTGGCGAGGGGGGAAGGAGGGGTTGTTTTTTGTTTTTTAAGAAGCAATCATATATGTATATCCTTTTGAACTGTTTTTGGTACGTTATCAACTCTAATTTGGAAATAAACACCACTATGCCTTCCCCCCCCCCTTCAAGGTTAGTGTAAACCCCAGCTATTTGGTACCTGAGTCTGATTACTCCAACAATATAGTACGCTGCGATATACGCTATACAGGCCACCATGCATATGCCTCTGGCTGTACAATTTCACCGTAAGTACATTCCTTTTTCTTTGCTACTTTTTATATTCATAATACTAAGATTGACAAGCAGATTTATATCTTAGAGATTAATTTTATATTGAAAAATAACTTCCACTGAATTCTAGTGATATCAATTTCTTTACTATATCATTTCATAAGTTTCAGGATCTAGCGTATTAATCAGAAATACAGCTGGTACTTTTCAAAGGTCTGTTTATGGCAGGAAGGATGGAAACAGTTATACTGATAATTGCATAGCTTTCAAATCCTTACCTCTGGTAATTAAACTATTTCTGTAAGTCTAGCACTGAATTCCTGAAATTGGTTAGGCTTGAAAAATGATCGTAAGCTTCCAGAATTTATCCTTCAACTCAGTGCAGGATTCTTACCAAAAGTCTTTGCTGGACAATTTTGCTCCTGCAGTCTTGCTATCAGAACATACAGCACTTCCAAAACTGCTGCTGCTGTCTGAGCTCCCAGATGTTACCTCTGGCTCAAGTCTTTGTATTTGCCCTGAAACCTTCCTATGCTCATTCAATAACTATTTATCACATCCACACAGAACCCTTGTGCAGACAGGGCTCTTAAAGCATTTGCTGAGAACCCACACGTATGTGTTACTTTGTTGCTCTGCCACAGCAGCCATCCTTCCTGGAACAGTTCTTCCAGACACACTCCATTTACAGTTTCCCATTAGCTCTTCAAATGTTTAAACGATGACACAACTGTGCCTGTCTTTCTCTTCCTCCTCCCTCCCTCCCCCCAGGCAAATGTACATTTAATAAGCATTCATACTCTAGACTTAACTGTAGTTAAGTAGCCATGAAGCACACATACAGAAAAGCAATCAGTCGTTTGTAACGGAGCTAAGCAGTTCCCAGGATAATACATAATTACTCATATTAAATATTTATCAAGTGATTTCATCCGATTAGCACAAATGATACGTTAACATTGTGTACACATCCATGTAAGATAAATTCTAGAGCTGTAAGTGAAGAGTAAAACTAATGAATGGAAGAGTCTACTGTAACAGCATTAAACACTCATACTGCATTCATAAGAATATTGCTTACTTAGCCTTTAAAATGTTCATTCCTCACTTTCTGTTAGGATACCAGTGATTAAATGAGGCTAAAATGAGAAACGTTTTTTCACCCCTGTATTGAGAGATGTATTTATAATCACACTTGGGTCATAAATGCAACAAGTTAAATGGCTTCAGAATAATACTTGTTTTCAGCATAGGTTGGTTGTGCTTGTAGGAAACAAAGAGCAACAGGTATTGTGCAGGTCATGAACACTCATTTTTGGCAGATGTGAGGAGGAGCTTTTAAAGCATTTCTCTAACAGGACCGACTTAATTGTTACTTCTGTGAACACAATCTATTCACTTACATTCAGGTTGAAGAGAAATTTATGCTTCATTCCTTTAACTTACAGCCTCCCCATCCTACCTCTGTAAATGTAATCAAATATATTCATGCAGGTGAAAAGACAAAATTTCTTCTATCCTTTGTTAAGCTGCACCTTCCAGTTGACACATGGATACTTAATAGGGGCTTTTACATTGTACTTATTTGGTAGTGTGCATAACTTATATTGTTTTTTTTTTTAAACAGATATTAAGAAAGATGCAAGAAAATGGATGAGTCAGTGCCAAGTGTTTTGAACTGAAGTATCATTATATAAACTTCAATAGGACGTAAACACTATAGAAACAAAACTACAGAACATACATGCATACACCCACATACCTTATGTGATTCTGAAGCACTTCAGCTGCTTCAACAAAATCTGTAACTGGATTTTAAGCATTTGAATTAGCATTCTTTTTTAAACTATTGAAATGTGTGGAACTGGTGATTCATGCACAGATTTGTTTATATTTTGAAAATCTAATTCATTCATAGGAACATGAGTGTTTCTTAACTCCTGAAAATTTGGAGTTCAGGTGATAATAGACTTCAGCCAGAATATTACTGGTGAATGAGTTGAACATATTCTAAAAGGTAGCAAAACTTTATGTAAAATGCATTAAATAAAATGCGATAGAAAGTATAATACCAGCTATTTCAGAAAATACCAGAATGAAAATCAATTTGAGAGTAATGGTACAATGCCATTAAAATAAAACTCACTAGGACGCATTGATATGAACGAGAAAAGCATGTTCAGTTTTCAAGGGATATTAAAACATAGCAGAGAAACACATAGCTATCAGTTATACCCCGTGAGGAAAATTATGTTTACATTTTTAATACATTAGAAATTTTATTTTAAATCACACACGAATGGGTTTTTGAAATAAACCTTTTTATCTTTGGCAGTCAAATTAGAGACCTGATCCACCTTTTTATGTTGAACAGATTTTTCAAAGTGGGGCTTTTAAAAAGATTTCTGCACACATAATGGCAATTAAAATGAATATCTGTCAAGAAGAAATAGGGCTCTTAAAAGAGATGAAGAAGAGTCCCTGATGTAGTCATCTGTGAAAAAGCAACCAACTTGAACAGGTTAACCATTAAAATAATGCAGGCAATTAACTCAGGTGGCACCACAAACAGAAGTAGGTCAGAATCTCTAACGTGGAATTTTTATTGTGAAAAAGCCTACTACCTGCTTCCCCCTTAAGTACTGTACTTGACTTTTAAAATGCTATCTCAGTATTCAGACAATGAAGTGGAAAATGTACTATATAGAGGAAGAACAAAAGTAAATATATTTAACATATCCTACCTTAGGCCGTTCAGGAACCAAATACAGCATTCTAAACGGGAAAAACTTCAGCCCAAATTACTTACTGGTGCTGGATATACCACCACGCCCCCCTCCCCCTGCACATTATTTTGTTTTTGCAGTGCACCCTGCTGTAACTAAAATAGCTGTGATTTTGTTCTTAAACTGTGAAATAACATATCACAAGAAGATCTGGTGTTTTTTTTCAGAAGATCACAGATCATGTAAAATGAAGGACTTTTGAAAGGAAGTAGCTTAGAAATAATTCATTGATATCAACAGTTCAAAACATCAAATTAAACAAATTAAAGCTCAAATTCAAAATTTTGTTTAAAATATGTGCTATTGATTATAGTTAAAATGAAGAATCTGAGGAATATGGAGAGGCTTTATTATCACTTCTGAGAATACTTTAGGCAATATTTGTCTAAAGCATTTTATGCAATATAACCCTACAAATTTAATGTGGAAATGGTATGAATTATAACACCGCCTTTGAAGGATCAACTTCTTCTTTACTTCATATATTTAAGTTTATTTCATGATTATTAAGTCCTTCCATCTCAATTGTAACTATGCTGCAAACTTGCACAATTAGAAAGTCTATGTAAAGAAGCAGAATCCAAGAACCAGCAACCCAGTGCTTGCTACCCAAGATTACATGTGGGTACAGAATGATTAGGGTTTATACCTGCAGGTCCCCTCTTGTTTGTTCAGAGATCCATTTTAGTAACCAACCACCAGTATGGGAACCTAACAGGAGCAAAATTTAAAAACTAGATTAGAAACCCATTTGTTATATGCAGCTGCAAAATAAGGGTTTGTTAGCAGTTTAGACTTCTGAAATCTCAGCCCAAAGGCTTTTTGAGAGGAAAAGGTCTGAGGGAAGAAAGTGCATTTTCACCTGTCACCCTTCTAGACACTTAGGTCAAAGTTGGCATAACTGACTGCAACTTGGGCAACAGACCCAGAAATTACTATACTGCAAACCAGGCTGCGAGCACAAACTGCTTCCTAGTAAGAGCTCTCACACATGTTCACCTTGTTGTGCCTGACAGCAAGCAAGCGATAAGAGAAAGCTAATTGGCCACAGAGCAGCCAGCAGAAATTGAATTTACACTACACCTTACAAGGCAGTAACCTGTTCACGTGTCTACACTCCAACTGCCTGCAGCGCTCCACTGAACTCAGTAAGGACCAGAGGAGCGCAAATACCTGCCTAGGTGGAGCAAGTTGTAATATTGGACTTAGTCCTTTCAATGAGAACAGCCTGAATCAGGAAAATGTTGGACACCAGTAGCTTTAGAAAATTGTTAGGGCACAGTACACGGAAGTAAGATTAACTGCATTACTGGGGGGCTGTGTTCTAGGTAAGTGGCACCTACTGCCTGTCAATGTACTGGCATTTGTGGGATGTTGTACCTACAAAGATGTAGTTCTTCTCCTTAACAAAATATCGTACAAGTTTTGAAAAGTATGTTACACAACATGACACCAATGTATAAAATAGCACAAATAGAGGGATCATCTATTTAAAAGATAAGAACTGGAATTCTTAGAATTAAAAATGAAGAAATGTGACTTCAACTTCCCCCATTGAGCTATAATAAATGCTAGAAAAGTTGAAGAGTGATTATATAGCACATGAAGAAGCATTTCAAAATAGGGGAGCACCAACCAGTATTTTCAGTAATTTGGCTCTGCAGTTTTGACCCAGACACCTTAACCTACTTTTTTCATACTGGAATCATATTTAAGCGATTACTTGCATTTTTGTTGAAAAACATTTATAAAAACTGTTTTGATAAAAAGTTTATTTTATAAAGAAAATTCTATTTTCAAATCCTTTCTATCAGGCATAGGGCTTGTCTCTATTGTCTGTGAAAGGGGTCTTGCCATTGGTCTAAGTGGGAGCAATATCAGACTTAAATTTTGTGAAAATTCTAGTTCAAAACTGCTGTCTTGCAGTTTCTAATGTCCTTTGAAAGGCCAAACTTAAAAATGTGCGTGAAGCAATTACCTCCCACATTTCAGATCTTTCAATAAAAATTGCACATAAGGAATATTCTGAACACCAGACTCATTACAGAAGGGCTTTGTTATTTTTTTTTAAATTTTGAAAAACATTTGATATTTGCATATTTCTAGACAAAAGTGTAACAAAAAATGACAGATTGGTCACCAATTGAACCAACATACTGTGTAGATTTTTTTTATGTTAGTAAAAGCCTATTCATTTTCTCTCTGCTCCAGAGTCTACTATGCAGCATTGAAGAGGTACAAACATCAAGGGTACCCTCTTAGTCATTCTTACATGGTTTATATTGTACTTATTCAAACCAGCAGGGCTAATTTCATTAAATGAGACAATGAAAGATGGTTTATCCTGTGTCTCACATTTATGCCAATATGGCATTTTCATATTCTCCAAATTCCAGAAGGTGCTGAAATATTTTAACTTGAATTAAAACTGAAGAGTATGCTATTGGGAGGTTTTTATTATGCAACTAAATGCTACAGATACAGTGAAATGCCACTTGTTTTTTGCAACTTTTTGAAGGGTTTCCATTATCTCCTTCACTTTTCTTCCAAGAGTCTTAATTTCAAAAACTTTGCATCTTTATCTGAAGAGCTCTTATTTATAATATTCAGACACTAGCTTCGTATTCTTCATTGCACTTTCATATTCTTGTGTTACATGCCTGTATTATGGTTGCAAGTTTATGTGAAAATGACTTGAATAAAATGTTTCAAGCGTTCAGCTTGTTGAAGTATTGTATTTATTGTAGGACTTCAACAAAAGCCAGATCCATCTCTCAATGAAAAAGCTTCAAAGAAAGTTGGATGTATCTGTATAGAAATGGGAAGGACAGATGTTGGACAAGTATTAATTGAAAGGTGGGTCTCAGAGTAAGAAGCGTCCAGTAGTTAGCCTTAGTCAAAGAGTCTCTTGATTTGAATTAGACTGTCTTAGAAATCAGCACAAATGCAGGATGTTGGTTTAATGATAGTGTTTAAGTGCCAAAAGGGCAGAAATTCAGTTATAAGAAAAGGCTCCATCTTTTTTAAACTTAGTCATCCCATATTTCTGCTAAACCGTTGTCTCAATCCGTAAAGGAATTGACATATGCAAGAGCAAGGAATATCAAGTGCTTGCATGTAAATGAATGTAAACACCACATTCTTGGAAAATGAATATGAGAACATGACAGAGCAGGTTCAGTTTAGGTAATTAAGCAGAAGACTTTTCAGTTTTTTTGTGAAAATACCAGCCATTTCATGCAAAATAGTAGTAAAAATTGCTTTTCAACATGATGTTATTAAAATCCAGCCTTGCTAGCAATTTCATAGTATCCATGATGGCAAATACCAAGAAAAATAAACAAATCTTTTTTTTACATGAAGCATTTCCATTTTTCTTCCTTTAACAAAAACTTTTGGGGAAACATCTTCTAACAACAGAACCCTGGTTTAAAGCAATCCTTATTCAGAAAAGCATGAACAAAATGGCTGATTTTCTCTTGGGATTTTTCTTCTTGTCTTTAGGTATGAGATATTTAAGTTAATTATGTTATTGATGTCTTACCTGTCTTCACAGTTATTATCAAACACAGTGCTATAGACGTGAGTCAGTCTTAGCACATAAAACCTCCCAGAGAAACAGGGAAAGACAATTTGTTTGCTAGCTGAACTGGCCCCCCTCTTTAGGGGGCGATGCGATTAATATGGCTCATGGTATTTATTGTTCTGTAGTTCTGACTTAGTCTCGAAAAAAATTTCATACCACGTTAGAAACAAAAAAAGAAAGTAAGATGTTGCAATGGATGACAAACTACCTCTCAAGCTACCTTAAGGCTTAACAGTGAAAGCATAATAAAATGACTTGCGGTTCATCTGGATACACACACTGTTAAAGATTACCTTACCAAATTAGCTCTCTCTGTAGAAACAGGCAGAAACCAATTTCTGTAGAAACCAATTTCAGAATTTCTGCTCCAAAAACATTACCCTCCTGGAAACGAAGTTTGAGCTATGTTAGAAAGTCCGCGTAATTTAGACAACTGCTTAACACATTTAACAGTTCTACCACCAACAATTTATCCTTCATGATTTACACTTTCTGAATACAAATCAACATTCTGCTGCCTTCTCCAATCTGCATGCTCCATGGATTAAATAGGCTGACGTGTGAAGTGTTTCCGCTCCCTTCACTGAGGGATTAATACAGAACAACATGGTTAAAAAACCCGAAATATTCCTTTAAGTAACAGGTTTTCAAACATTTAAGGAATATCGACTATAGTGCTACTACCTTCAGATAAACAGCACAATGACTGAGGAAAAAAAAAAGATGTATTATCTTTTAAAATTAATAAAACAAATGTAGAATTGCTAAAGATTTAAGCAATGTTGTGATAGCGTTCTTGTACTTTAACAAAATTATTCCTGTTTGAATACATTCTAGAGCTAGGAGCTTCAAACTAATTAAAAAAATTAAGTGCTAGTCCCAGAGCTCAAAGCTTACTCTAGATGGCAATCCACGTAAATAGAACAAGGCAGTCAAAACAATCAATGTGTTTACAATTAATGCAGAAACTATATTCAAATTTATTGAAAAGCAAGTACTCCCCTAGTTTCCAAACATCCACTACCCGAGTCTCATTCTGGACCTTGTGACCACGTTAAATCACTTGCCTAATATCACAAAATTAGGTAGCATCATTCTACAATTCGAAAACACCGTTCAAGTCAGGATGCCTCCAGCAGATGCATACAGCCAGAGGAGACAGCATGCAACATGGCTATGGAGGATCCTCTTGCACCTCTCCTGGGAAGCTTGCATGCTTGACTGGCTCTCTGAAATGCCTGTATACCAATGCACGCAGCATGGGGAATAAACAGGAAGAGTTAAGAGATCTGTGTGCGGTCGCAGGGCCATGATCTCATTGCAGTTACAGAGACATGGTGGGATAGTTCACATGACTGGAATCCTGTCATGGATGG